TGGGGCAGGATTTGGGGTACAAGCTGTGCCGAAGTCGGGGGGAACGTCCCCTCTGGTTCACACAGTGTGGCCGTGGCCAGGGAAGTGACACCTTTGCGATTTGCTCCAGCGACAACGGCGATGGGATTGTGGCCCTGGGGAGTTTTTTTGGCGCTTGAAAGCCAAATGCCGGGGGACTGAGCAACATTTCACTAAATGGAGGGTGAGGATTTTCCAAAACGCTGGAGGACTCAGGTGCTGGGAGTGGAAGGGGTGGGCGTGCTCTGGTCCGGCAGCCTTCGCTTGGTCCTCAACCACAGCTCCTCTCTTGAAATAAAGCTCCCACACAGACCTCCCCACAGGAGACCTACCCACTCCTGGGAGCCCTGAGCACCAGCACCCACCCCCCCATCACCTCTCCCCTCTGCACGCACCGGCTCTGAACTAGTCCTGCTTGCCGAGCCGGGAGAATTCGGCATCCGGCCACCAAAACTGTAAATCTTGGGAGAAAGAGGGAGAGAAGCGTGCTTGGCTCCCTCCTCCTGGCAAGCACAGCGGTGTTCCCTGCAGCACGGGCTCTGGCTCCTGCGCTCTCGCCTAAGTGGTCCCGTCACACACGTTGGCCAGCAAGTGGGAGCTCAGAGCACTCTGTGGGGATGGGGAGGAGGGAGAGGAGCCAGAGGCTAAAACAAGCCCCCCCCCCCCCCCCCGGGGTCGGTACATGCCTGCACGCCCCGCCGTGATGCTGCCCAGCCAAACTCTGCTCCAGCAGCACCGGCTCTGGCCACGTCCAGGTTTGCCCAGCCTGTTTTCCAAGGATGCAATTTGCCCTTCCCTCCCAAAAAATTACCCACCCGTTTCTCTGCTGCTGCCACCTCCCTGCCACCCCCTGTGATGCTGAGCCAGTGCCATCCGTGACTGCGAGTCCCAGAGGACTAAAACATCTGGACCGCCATCAGTACATTCCTCGCTAATGAGGCTATTTCGGGCTGTCTTGCCTCTGTGGGTTGAGCGTCTGCTGCTCTCGGAGCAGAAGGAGGCACCGTGCTCGGGGCTGCGCAAACGCAGAGTGAGAAGGGTCTCGTCCCTGAGGACTGGGGATCCAACCTGCCTTGGAGACCACCTTCTGAGTCGGGGCTTGTCGGTCTGAGATCTCAGGGGCTGTGCCTCCGGGGAAATTATCTGACCCCCTTCCCCAAAAGAGGAGCAGGGAGATGCACAGCGGGGAACGGCAGCCGGGAGGTGTGGGGGTCACATACTGCCCCCGAGCTCCTCCATGAATGCGAGAGAGCAAAACCACTTTGGCTCCCGTTCTGAAAACGGTGCCAAAAGCAGCTTTTTAAGCCCGGGAGAAATACCTGAAACTCCAATCAGGGAAAAGAGTAGCCTGCGGGTAACGAAGCCTGTTTTGGCTGAGAGTTGCGGATTAGAAACAGAGGAGGAAGCCCAGTGAGAAGAGCACATCGATCCTGTGCTCCTCAGACACTTCTCCTCTTGGAAAGGTGCATCGTCCAAATGGAGCAGGGTTTTGGAAAAGCATCTGCTGAGCACGTGTGATCACGGCAGCGCCGGTGAGAGGGACCGAGCTGCTCAGGGAGCTCTGGAGGCAAGTCTGGAGGTGCTGGATGGCGACCAGCCAGGCCAGGAGGAGAGGAGGTGAGAAAGGGACGATGTTCACAGCAGAACCCTGGGGGTTTTGCTGGAGAGATGGCATCACCACCTGACCCAGCACAGGCCAGGGAATTGCATCCTGCTTCCCATCGAGGGGCTTGATTGCTGCCCGGCTTCCGCGGCTCAGGCTCCACCCGAGGGTGGCTAGCAGTGGTCATCGCTGAAATACAGGCAGGCGCCACGATAAATTTGAAAAATGTTTTGTATACAAACAAGATTCGCCACAGGCTGTGCTGGGAATACTGGAAGATTGATAGGTTTTATAAACACTGAGCAAAAAAAAAAAAAAAAGTTGATTTCTCACTTTGAATCTCTTCCATGGGATCACTTAAAATTCTTACAATGCTTCAGAATGAGTTTCTAGAATAAAATAAGAAGAGTTTAGGAGGGAAAGTGGTTTTTGTATCACTTCCAGGGGCTCAGACGCTGATCTGACAAGGCAGTGATGGACTTTGAGGACTTTGCTGAAGAGGGTCAAAGCCTCATTTAACCATGTGGCATCACCTCGACCAGGTCATGATGGGCTCTGCTGCCATCTGTCCAGCGCACATGTACACCATGCCCTTCCCCAGGCCAGGTGATGAAACCACTATTAAAACAAGCATTTTCAAATGACACAAAGAACAAGTTTTTCTCCATATGTCTTCTTGTGGATAAACTTCTTTAACCCCAAGACTTTGCTCTGTCATCACAATTTTAGGGACTTGCTTCCTGTTCCCTCCCCTGCTGACCGAGACCATTAGCAACAGAGGACTTGAAAAGAAAAGGGGAAGGGGCAGAAATCTGGAAACGGGGAAAATAAAAAGAAACCCTGGTTTCAAACTGTGCAACAAGAGAAATAAAGAGATCAATATAGGGTTTGACTTGCATTTTATGGAGAACTTATAGTGCTCCCCCAAACAACACAGTTCCCGTCCATCGCTGAGTCCAGTCAGTGACTTTCCCAGTGCCTGTGGGCGACGTGATCGTCATCCTGGGAGCTTGATGCAGTTTATATATATGAAATATATTTAATTATTTTTCTTTTTATTATTTTATTAATATTTCATTAAAGTAGTTTAGGCCTTTCTAAACTATTAAGTCGCTTTCTCCCTCTCCCTCCTCTCCTTGAGTTGGAGGAGATCATCTGTCATTCCTCCCAGTGACCAGTCCCTTCTAAACTATTAAGTCGTTTTCTCTCTCTCCCTCCTCTCCTTGAGTTGGAGGAGATCATCTGTCATTCCTCCCAGTGACCAGTCCGGCCCAAACCATGACAAAATATATATAAAAATACACATAGACAGAGAGAAATAACTCTCTAAATAAGTATTTCCAGCTGAAGGGCTGGGAGGAGGCTCTCCATGTCGAGAGCATGTCGCCAGGTGGGAGAGAGCATGGGGGGTGCCAGGATCTTGCCCTTTGCCCAGCTCTGGGTGCCGGGGAGGAGGTGGGTGCTGTGCCCCAGGAAGGATGCTGCTGTGGGTTACCCAGCCCCACAGCTGCCCCACGGCAGGGCTGTGAGAAGAACGGGCCTTTGCTCCAGTGTGAAACTCTGTTTGGGTCAAAACGCTCTAAAGGAGGGTGCGTTTTCTGATCAAACTGGTGGGATGGCGACCTGAAAAGGAGGAAAAAACCCAAAAGGGGAGACATTCAAATTCAGCAAACTTCTAGAACAAGAGGCCTAATACATCTTGGAGACATTTACTTACTTTTCCTGACATTTGTTTTCCACCAAACCAAGAAGAATTTATAAAATATTTTAGTCCTGTCTGCATTCATGCCCAAACCCCGACTTCATCCAACTTTTTCCTTTCAACTCCAAGCCAGTTGTCATCACTGATAGAGTCAGGCTGAAATCCCTGGAGAAAATCCCACTGGCTTCAATGAAACCAAAATTTACCCGCTGATTCCAAAAGCCAAACAAACCCCCGACCAGCTGGGACATGACTCTGTGTCAGGACACATTCAGATACTTAAAGAAATTGGGGTTTATGCTCATCTCCTGCATGGTGACAGCATGTGAGCTCCTGGGTTGAACCTACAGAAGATAAAGATCTAAACCAGCATTGAGCTACCCTGTTGCCCAAACTCTTGTTTTAGCCTTTTGGCTTCAATATTCCCAGGTCTGGCCCCCTTTTCCAGTCTCCTCCAGGCTCTGGAGAGCGGCCACCAACGCTCCGAGGGTGACGATGCTCCGTCCCCTGCAGCTCCCTGCTGAGGGACACAGCGGATGCTGCAAGTCTGCACGGGCTCGAGGAACAACTGGAACAAGATCATGTGAAACAAATCCATCGGGGGATATTAAATTCAAGGACGGCCCTGTCAGCTCAGGAAGTCCTTGAGATACTAATTGCTGGAAGCTGGGAAAGTTGACTGGGGATGTATCACAGGGTGCTCGCCTTGCTCTGGTGCTTTTATCTAAGCATCTCCTGTTGGCTCTGTCAGAGGCTGAATCTGGGCCTCGCTGGACTTTGGTCTGAGCCAGCACAGCCATTCTTGTGATCCTACGCTGCCCAAATTTTCCTTAGCATTTTGCCAAAGTTTTCTCTCTCTTTTTTTTTTTTTTTCATAATAGCAATGAGTTTGGGTTTTTTTTCTGACTGCTGATGCTGTTCTGGGAATTCTCTCTCCCTCAAGCCTAATAATCTGCCTTAGTTATGCAATATGCTGTGAACATACTTTGTGGCAAGCTTTGATTTCACCCAAATTTATATCAGACTCCTCCAGGACAGTCACTGATATTTCTTAGGCAGCAAAAGAGGTTCAGCCCTCGGACTATTACCCATTGCTGCTCTGCTGTGTGGGTGGTGGTGAAGATGCAACATGTAGTCCAAGGGTGACCTCAAGAGACTTCAGGGCCTTGGGGTGGCCAATAAGGGAATCTGGGGCACAGATTATTTTTTCCCTCTCTTCTCCCAATTGTGAGCAGTGACGTTGGAATAGAGGGGCCCAGTCTATTAATACGTGGCTCCGTGGCTGGTGTCATCACCACAGTTTGGGTTATTATGATAATGGGATGGCCTACACAGCACCAGGCTTGTGGCATCAGACGGGGTTCGCCTTTCTCAAAGGGAGAAAGGGGGTGCCCTACATAGCACCAGGCTTGTGGCATCAGATGGGGTTCGCCTTTCTCAAAGGGAGAAAGGGGAAACATTGCACCCATTTTTAAAAAGGGTGGAGAGGAGGGTACCAACCATGAGCCATCCCTCTGTGCCTGGGAAGATGATGGGACACATCCTCCTAAAAGCCATGCTAAGGCCCATGAAGGACAGGGAGGTGACTTGAGACAGCCAGCGTGGCTTCACCCTGTGCTTTTCCCACATCAGACAGGCTCAAAAGGAGGAAGACACAACAGTTTTTTCTCCTAAAATCACAGATCGAAAGGGTAGAAATGAATCCCTGTGAGTAGATTTACTCTTAGTCGCATACAGGGTATCTTCGGTCACTTTCTGGTGCACCATGAAAGAGCAGTGGAAAGAGAAAAAACAAAGGAAAAAACCAATCCTGGTAGACCATATGACACGCAAAGTGACAAATTAAATTTCTACTCAGGCTTCCATTAGGAAGTGGAAGTCTAATGGTGTATGTTTTAAAGCAAAACTGGGATTCCCTCCCAGAACAGATAACACGGGGTGGGCTGAGCCCAGCCTAAACGGGATCCAGCAGCCGCGTAATTCTGGGAAAGGTCTTGCGCATCCCCATGCACTTCTCCTCGTCGATGAACAGGGAGTTGGCTTTGATGGCCAGGTCGTGCTCCAGGACCGACTTGGTGTGAACCAGCATTTGCAGGCTGACCTCGCTGTCTCGCAGCTGCTGCTGAAGGGTCTGCACCGTCTCGTTGATATCGTGGACCTCATTGACAAGGCTGGAAAACAGCAAGAGCCCCTCGTTAACAGTCCCATCCTGGGGGTGGTTCTAGCATGGCATTGCTGGGGGGCCCCTTAGGCACAGGATTTTCCCCTTCAGCGTGCTCAAAGTCAGACACCCTATTTCTGACAGATACATAGAATCATAGAACCATAGAATGGTTCGGGTTGGAAGGGACCTTCAAGCCCATCCAGTGCCACCCCCTGCCCTGGGCAGGGACACCTCCCACCACCCCAGGTTGCTCCAAGCCCCCTCCAACCTGGCCTTGAACCCCTCCCTTCTCAGTTTAAAACTGCTCCCCCTGTCCTATGGCTCCCCTCCCTGATCCAGAGTCCCTCCCCATCTCTCCTGTAGCCCCTTTAGGGACTGGAAGGGGCTCTAAGGTCTCCCTGGAGCCTTCTCTTCTCCAGGCTGAACCCCCCCAACTCTCTCAGCCTGTCCTCACAGCAGAGGTGCTCCAGCCCTTGGAGCATGTTGGTGGCCTCCTCTGGGCCCACTCCCAACAGGTCCATGTCCTTCTCGTGCTGAGGACTCCAGAGCTGGAGGCAGTACTCCAGGTGGGGTCTCCCCAGAGCGGAGCAGAGGGGTACACAGGACAGCTGAGGACAGAGCTCCTCTTGACTTTGGTGGACCAGGCACGGTTTTGTCTGCTCCAAGGCTTTGGCAATGCCACAGCAGCTTGTGCCATTGAGCAGAGGGATGGGCAGCTGTGGCTTCCTCTTCCCATTTGGTTGTGTGGGTGTGTTGGTTCCCCCTCCTGGATTTCCCCATGATGGGGTGCTCCCTGCACCCACGGGTGCACACGCAGCGAAACAGGACGGGGAGAGGCTAAAAGTGAAAGTGAAAGAAGTGGAGGATGGATAAAACAATGGTGTGCGAGATGCTAAACACTCGGGGGCTGGATGTAAATTGCTTTTAAAAGGTTTCAGAGGGAGCCTTGCTCAGCAGGATCCCAGGAGGAGGTGTGAAGTTCAGGGTGGCTCATGGAGGGCAGCCTACTCCTCCATAGCCCCTCAGGGTGCAATCCCAGAGAGCTCACTCTGTCCTTGGAAGGATTTCCAGTGTCCCCAGGGGAGGTGGGAACAGCCCTTACTGCTTCTCCATGTGGCTCACTCTTTCTTGCAGTTACTGAAACGGAAGGACCTAAGAGCTCTCAATGGCAGCCTGTTGGAGACCAAAGGGCTTGTCCTTCAAACCTGAACCCATCCAGCTGCCGGAAAGCAGAGAGCTTTACCCAAGTGGGAAAAATCCAGCCCCTGGTGGGGTGGCATCAGGCTGCACCCACACATGGTGTACAGCCCCCTTTGTGGGCGCAGAGCTCACCCAAAGGCTGGGCCACCCCCTCATTGCTTTTGGTTTATGGGTGCACTTATGAAAGGAGTATTTAGGAAAAAAAAAAATGACCCCATGATTAATTTCCTCATCCTGTGATGCTCCTGAGTGCTACCACCCATGTCTCCTCGCTCATGCCTTACCGGAGCTGGGCAGTGTCCCGGCACAGCTCCATGTTTGGTCTCCGAGTGCGCTCGTCCAGCCGGGTCTGAGCCACTTTTAACGGAGGCCCTTGGTCCCTAATGGCCTTCTTGATGTCTTCTATGTTCTTCTCGGTCTGGAATATTTCCTGCAGTGTCTGGCGTAAAAGACAAACACAGGCATAAATTAAAAAATATAATCTCAAGCAACACCATCATATCCCTTTTCTGCCATCCATCTGCTGACAAAAACCCAAGCTCAATAAGCAGACCCTGGGCTCAGGCCGCTGTCGCTCTGCCATGTATCGAGGCATAGATCCAGCAGCAATTTCTTTTCAGGGAAAAGAAATTCCTCTCTTTGAATACCTCTCTTTGCTGTTGCTATCACATCAGAGGAGGTTTTGGAGCAGTGATGGATCTATTGAATTAACAGCTCCCCCAAATTACTGCTTTCAGGAGCTGATCGTCCATCAATAGCAACTAAGAGAGGGAAAGTTTTTGGTGGGTGCTCGCTGAAGGACATGGCATCAGCCTGCGGTGCTGCAAGCACAGTCTCCACTTGGTTAATCAATACTGTGCCAAGCACTTTCCAGGAAGCTTTCCATGAGACCCAGTGTTGGAGCCAGGTGTCCATCGCTGATCTCCACTTACTCTGCTTGGCAGAGCGAACACATGGATACCCCTGCAGCAACCACGGATCACTGAGACTGAAAACATGTCCCCAGAGGAGAAGCAAGCCTGTGAACCCCCCAGCAGAGGCCCAGCAAAGACTTTCTGCAGGGCAGCCAGCACCTCTGAAGTGACTTCCAGAAGATGGGATGAGCATTGGCATTTTCTGCCAGAAATCCTTGTCCTAGCAGGCTGTCAGCTGGGATGGGCAAAAGACAGTCTCCCTTGGATGAAACTGCACTGCCAGCTCATCTTGCTCCAAGAAGAAAGTCACCAGATCATAGAACCATAGAATGGTTTGAGTTAAAAGAGACCTTAAAGGCCACCCAGTGCCACCCCCTGCCCTGGGCAGGGACACCTCCCACCACACCAGGTTGCTCCAAGCCCCCTCCAACCTGGCCTTGAACCCCTCCAGGGATGGGGCAGCCACAGCTTCTCTGGGCAACCTGGGCCGGGCTCTCACCACCCTCACAGTAAAGAAGTTCTTCCCTACATCTCATCTAAATCTTTGAGTTTAAAACTGTTCCCCCTCATCCTGTGGGTCCTCTCCCTGATCCAGAGTCCCTCCCCATCTCTCCTGGAGCCCCTTGAGGGACAGGAAGGGGCTAAGGTCTCCCTGGAGCCTTCTCTTCTCCTGGCTGAACCCCCCCATTTCTCTCAGGATGTCCTCACAGCAGAGGGGCTCCAGCCCTCCCAGCATCTCTGTAGCCTCCTCTGGACCAATTCGAACAGGTCCATGTCCTTGCTGTGCTGAGGCCCCAGAGCTGGAGGCAGCACTGCAGGGGGGGTTTCCCCAGAGCGGAGCAGAGGGGCAGAATCCCCCCCCTCACCCTGCTGGCCACGCTGCTGGGGATGCAGCCCAGGATGTGGGTGGTTTTTGGGCTGCCAGAACATGTTACCGGTTCATGTTGAGCTTCTCATCCACCAACACCCCTAAATCCTTATTCTCAGGGCTGCTCTCAATCCATCCTCCACCCAGCCTGGATTTGTGCTTGGGATTGCCCTGACCCAGGTGCAGGACCTCGCGCTTGAATGATACCACAACCAGCTTCTTACGGTGACCGTTCCTCTGCTTGGGTCAAGGTCTGCAAGGAGGGTCCCAGCTGGGGGAGGTGTCACTGCAAAGTGGCAGTGTCACACCGAAAGGGAGGAGTTGGGGATACCTTGGCCAGGTGGGCCTGAATCTTTCTCTTGGCATCGGTTGTTTCGGCGATGCGCATGGCGAAGGCGACGTTCACCGTGTTGAACTGCCGCCACATCTCGTTGGCCGTCGACACCAGCAGGTTCTCGATGTCGTCCCGCAGCTTGGCGGAGGCCGCCCGTTCGCTCTGGGAGAGGAGGACGTTGTCATTGGTGAACTTGGTCCATGACTCTGGCACCGAGACCCTGGAGGGAGAAAAGGAAAGGGCCCCAGTGAGCTGGACATGGACGGGCACAGACTCCATGCAGAAAGCAGCATGGATTAAGTGAAACTTAAGTCTGGTTTTAATTTGTCTGTATGTCATAGTTTAACCCCCAGAAAGGCAGGGAGAAGAGGAGAAAAGGAGGGGAAAGGGAAAGGAAAAATTCATGGGTGGAGATAAGGACAGTTTAATAGAACAATTACAGAAAGTAACAATAATATTAATAATAATCATGATGATGATGATGATGACACAAGTCAGTCTCACCACCCAGTGAATTGGTACCTTCTCAGCCCTGATGGCGGATTCCCACCCCTGGCCAACCCCCGTTTTTATGCTGATCATGACATCTATGGTATGAATATCCCACTGGCCTTTCCCTTGTTCTGTCAATGCTCTCTCCCACCTGTATAGGAAGTTGAAAAGAGTGCTTGAAAAGTATAAACATTGCCTAGCAACAACTATAACAATATCAGTTGTTGACATGCCTTCCACTGCAAAATTAACTCCTTCCTGCCTGAAACCAGGACACCATACAAAAGTGAAACATCTGGACTTCATTTGCTCAAACGATGACATGTTCATGAAAACAGCTTTGATACTTAGCAAAGCTCAGACAAACAAGAGATTTCCCCAGAAAAGCAGAGATTTTAATCAGACCTCATACTGAGATGCTGAAGGCGTTTAAGGGCCAAGTGATTCACAGCTTCACGACAACGTGCCGATTGCAGCCAATTCATTTTGCTTGTGACTTGCCTCAGTTTCCTACTAAACTGAACGAGCATAGGGTAATATGCAGTTCCCTGTCTGTGCACTCAGGATGATGTTCACGCCTGTGCACTAGTCCAGAATAAGGTCAACAAAAGACTTCAATACCACATAAGCTCCATTTAAAACATGCTGAGCCTCGGCACATTTTACCCCCCTCTGAATTTTAGCATCAACCCGTTGCAACCCATTTGCCTGTCTAAATATGTCTGAGCTCTGCTGTGAATAATTATTCAAACGTTAGAAAAATTGAATCAATCCATGCCCCTCCCTAAACTGCCTGCATCTGTGCGAGCAGCAGATTTATTCCCTCAGCCCTTTGCCACTCGGGGCATATCTCTGCGGGCGCTGGGTTAGGTCACCATTCATTCACTGCCGAGCCAAAGCTGAATTCCTGGCACCCCAGGGCAGCTGAACTCTCTCTCCCAGGATCGTGCTCTCTATTTCTTCATCTTCTGTGACATTTGGGCTCCCTGCCAGGCCCTCTCCCTGCTGGGGTGAACCACCTCAGACTTTACGTCAATGAGGAGCACTCAGGCAAGCGCTGACACATCTTCGAAAATATGCATAAACCTAATGAGCTGTGCAGAGGTGCTCAACTGAGTTAATTGTCAGGCTGATCTCTGAACCCTGGTAGAATGTTTAATTAGGCAGGACTCGCTTTCACCCTCTGGATGTTCGGCATCCAACTGAAAAGCAGGGGGCCGTGCTCCCTTTATGGGGACTGGAGAGAAATGGCCCCTGTGAGGTGGGTGTCTCCAGGAAGGATGAACATGCCTTTATGGTGAGCTGGGAACAACTTAGAATCATAGAATCATTTAGGTTGGAAAATACCCTTGGGATCATCGAATCCAACCATCTATCCTACTCTACAAAGTTCTCCCCTACACCGTATCCCCCAACACCACATCTAAACGACTCTTCAACACATCCAAATGTCCTAGGGATGGCTTGCTGCTGGGGACCCACAGTGTGCACTCACGTGGCATCGATCTGCTCCACCCCTCGGTAGTAACCGATGCCCTGGGAGGTGTTCCTCAGGTGGTGGCACTTGTCATCGATCCGGTGGGCCACCTGCTTGTTGGCCAGATCCTTCTCCAGCTTGTGCTGGGCCGCCCAGTTGGACCTTCAAGATGCAAACAAGAGCCATGGGTGGGGATGTACAGGTGGAATGGCTTCCCACCCCATTCCACTCCCCATACCCCCTGGGCAGCTCTGTCCTCCCATGGGCATCACTGCCTGCACCCCATGGAGCCTCTATGGGCTTTACACCTGCAGGGTGTAAAAGTAAAGGGTATAAATGTAGAGGTCAGGGTCTGCTGGGGGTTCACATCACATCAGCCCTACGGAATAAGAGAAGGAGCTCCTCCTTACTCGAGCTGGCCTCTTGCCTTCTCCAGGAACTGCTGCATCTTCTCCTGGCATGACCTGATGACATCGACTTCCTGGACAAAGGCAAACAAAGCAGGACCCCATCAGTGTCCACGCTCCCTCATCCTGGTCACACTCATCCCCTCAGACCTCTCCAACCCTGCACACAGCAAGAGCTCACCTGTTTGTCTTTCTCCCCAGAGCAAACAGGGGGGGAGTGAGGAAGGTGCCCCCAACCCCAGTGCACTCGCTCGAGCAGCTGAGCCTGGCCCAGTGACCAGGAGGGGACAGAAGGGTGCTGTGGCTGCAGCCATGGCCTTTGCATTCACTTTCAGGGCGAATCAATAAGTATTTTTTCATCTTGAGATGAGTGTCAGGTGGTGGTTAGTCCCACTGCAGGGACAGATCCTGACCTGCTATGGACAGGCAGAGCGGTTCCCCAGACCAGCAGCACTACACACCTCCAGCCCCAAATCAGCACCTGCCCTTTTTGCTCCCCAGATGTTTTGCTCCCCAGAAGAAATCCCATCCATATGGCATAAGAGGAGATGGGCTTGACGTTGGTGTAAGTCCCCAGGCTGAATTTCTAAGACACATCCAGCCCCACTGCAGGAAGGCGTGTGTTGCTCCCAGCAAAGTTGATTTCAGCACAAACCTATTTCATACGTGAAGCCCCAGCAGGTGATTACAGCTCCAAATCCAGTAATTTTTGAGCCCTCCTCTCTGCAGGAGCCAACTGAATAGCACGTCCCAAACACTTGCCATTGTGGAGATACCAGGTCTGATTGTTTTCCTAGAATCTCATGACCTTTAAACTAATCTTTTAATTTTCTAGGGCCTGACTCGTAAGGAAAAATCTAATGGAGCAGTGGCTTCGCAGTCCCAGGGGCTGCGATGTCCTTCCCGGTTTCACGATGCCTTCACTGTGATTATGTGTCACTGTGCCCTGCGTTAGGATCCCATCTCCTGTGCCAGCTCTCGTTGCGTTGGCTTTTGATTTGTAATTCAAAGCAGACTATATAAAGGCAGGCAGGAGTGCACGTTTTTATGATTTCTATAAAATACATTGCCTAAGCAGACATCACGGCAGCCCGACTGCAGCCAGATGTAATATCTTTTGTTAGATCTGCTAATAGAGTTGGGAGAGACAGAGAAGCTGTCGGGCACACGCTGCCTTCTTTGTATTGTGTGTTGATATGTGTGTGATATATATATATTTATATATATTTATGTGTGTGATATAGATGTGCGTGGGCATGCTGCTGCCTGGGTGGACACCCCGTCCCCTGGCCCAGCAGGTTTTGGGGGGGTTGAAGAGTTTGTCACCTCACCAGCACTGAGGAACCAGTTAGGGAAGGAGGCTGCGAAGCCTCTTTAGGGCAGTTTAGGTAAAAATAGCTTTAACACATGATCTGAGTTGGCAAACTTACTGCGAAGAGCTGTTTCTCCACTTCGTCATGGACCAGGTCGATGCCCCTCCTCTTCTCCCGGTGAAGTAAGCACTCCTGAGCGACCTGTTGGGGACATGCCATCACTACCAGGGTTTCTCTGGGGACAGTCCCCACCTCAAGTAATGTAAGAAGAGAAATTCTGGGTGGGCACAAAGATGAAAAGAGGGGGAAAAAGTGCCCAGGGCACTTGGTTTAGCTGACAACAAGCAGCCGAGCTGCAACATCAGCATTAAATCAACATGAGGGAGCAGACGTGCCCCTGGTGCCACCACAGCTGAAATCAGGGATCTGTGTCAGCCTTGAAGCTGATCTCGCAGGTCCTCGTAGGAAGACGTGAGCTTTTGTCTCCCAAACCAGGATTTTAGATGTACCGCTTATCAAAATATTTGGTTAAGCAAATGCTGGTCTGATGTGCTCAGCATGTGCTGATGGGGGACGCTGCAGATGGCAAAGGGTTTGTTTATCACTAACTTAACTAATGGTCGCTTAATAAAAACTTTCTAGACGTTATGGAGCTGCAGTGAAACTTAACGAGGCATTTGAATGGCTGCAGATGTTTCAGCAGTAGGATACAGCCTGCAGCCCCCTGGAACTCACCTGGAGAGGGGCCTCCGACTCAACCAAGGCTCTCTCCAGCCTGCTCTTCACGTCTGTGAGTGCATTGGTCTCCCCAATCATCTCATCTAGCTCGTGGGTGAGCTCCGATTTCCAAAACGCAATGTCATTGGCACGCACTCCCAAGTTTTTGGTGCTTTCTCCTTGGGTTTTCCTCGTCTGCTGGTATTTATCATCAATCAGGAGGGAGGTGTCAACCGTCAGACGCTCCGAGTTCTTCTGGGAGGTCTCTGCCTCTTTGTAGTTGGTCTGGTTGGACTTGTACCAGTCTTCAGGGGTGTACTGGGTAAAGACGGTTGTTCTGTTGTAAATAGTAGGAAGCTTCTCCCTGGCGGTTCCCTCCTGGGAACTCTTGGAAAAGGGAGCCAAGGTTGTTTTGAGGGCAGCTGTTTTGTAGTAGGTGCTGGGCATCCAGGGGAGGCTGTAGCTCTGGGGCAAGGGGCGGTAAGGAAATCGGTTCCTGTAGCTTGAAGCCATGGCGTGGACGGCAGGGAGAAACCTGGTAGGGAAGGACCTTGGGTGGGCGAATTTTGCTGTTGAGGGAAAGCCGACAGACTCCATCCTTGAGTCCTGCACAGAGGAGGAGACAGAAGACAACCTCGCTCAGTAAGCTCCTGCACTTGCCTCGCTTCTTACAGCAACACATGCAACTTCAAACACAAACAGCGATGCACACAGCGCCCATGCATCACCTGTACGGGCCTAAAGCTCTTGAGAACAAATCCCTTCTGACAGCACCCCAAGCATTTGTATATAAAAGCATTTGACTTTGTTCTTAGTGTCTAGCGGCAGGTCCTGAAATGCAGAGAAAATCCAACCGTGGCTGCTAAGGACTATGGCAGATACTACGTGCCTTCGTTTTCCTTAAATCTGTCAATCTGGTGAAACTGGAGTTGCTAATTCTCTGCTGTTCATTTGTTCTTCGTGTTTCTGCCACTGGTGAGAGCTCACCTGAAGTACTGTGTGCAGGGCTGGAGCCCTCAATATAAGAAGGATATGGACATGATGGAGAGGGTCCAGAGGAGGGCCACGAGGATGATCAAGGGGATGGAGCACCTCTGCTACGAGGACAGGCTGAGGGAGCTGGGGTTGTTCAGCCTGAAGAAGAGGAGGCTCCTGGGAGACCTAATAGCAGCCTTCCAGTACCTGAGGGGGGCTACAGGAAGGCTGGGGAGAGCCTGTTTAGAAAGGCCTGCAGTGACAGGACGAGGGGCAATGGCTTCAAGCTGGAGGGGAACAGATTTAGATTGGAGATTAGGAGAAAGTTCTTTACTGTGAGGGTGGTGGAGCACTGGAACACGTTGCCCAGGGAGGTGGTTGAGGTCCCATTCCTGGAAATATTAAAGGTGAGGCTCAATGAGGCCCTGGGCAACCTGGTCTAGTTGGGGGTGTCCCTGCTGACTGTGGGGGGGTCGGACTAGATGACCTTGAAGGTCCCTTCCGACCCAGATGATTCTATGATTCTTTTGGCTGGTGTATCTGCTGATCTTAGAGCCCTCCAAATGTCATTTTCTCTTTGAAAGTTCCATTCCCAGCCCTGATAGCTCGGGTGAGGGACTCCATCCTCATCCCCTCTTATCTTCACTTGCATTAAATGGTGGAGTGAGGAGTCTGCAGGTGGGCTGAACTTTGCAGGATTATATCCAAAGTTGACACCCCCCCCCCCACCTATTTCAGCCTCAGAAGAAGGGCCTTCTTTTGCCCTGCAAAAGAAGAAAGATGTGGATGGCTCACCTGACGGAAGATCAATGTGCGTGGAAAGGAGATATCCCAAAGTCTTTTCAGAGTGGCTTGTAAACACCAGCCTTCCAGTAGCCCTAGGAGTAATGGACAAACGTGAAGATTTTGCTACCAATAACTGCATATTGCTCTTTCCAGATTGAGGTTATCAGTTGTTATCAGAAACATAACACAGAGGGGCCACCAAATGTACCTAACGCATCTCATCTGAGGCCAAACACTCAGGAGGGTATGTTGTGCTCGATATGAAGCTCTTGTAAGGTTACAGGTGTCACCCACTGGCAGGAATAAGCCCCTGTGGCTGTTGCAGCCAGCTGGACACGTCCTACCCCTAACGCCATCCCGTCCCCGCTGCTCCCAGCCTGGCCCAGAGCCCCAGTGGATTAGGACACTGGTGTGCTACAGCAACATCCCTGGATGGGAGTGGGGTTTGACACAAAGCATGTGCTAAATCCCATTTGTTACAGCATGAAATCCACTTTATTCCTTTAAAAAATGGGATGTTTGCATGGAACAAACTCCCTTTTATTCTAGAACAAAGCATCCACACAGGCAACCGCATGACTAGAGGTTTAATAGCTCCTCCTGGGCTACCCCGATCACTTTGCATGCGTAGGCGAGCTGAGGGAGGCTGGCTTATTTTTAAAATCATCAGGCCCTGGGGAAAGAGGGTTTCTTTCATTTTAGTCACCTCTGCAACAAGGCAGGCCTCTCTCTACACGAGGGCAGGACCAAGGAGTCACGGTTTCCTCCTGGAAAGGTTAAAAGGCAATAGAGGGGAGGCTGCCTGTGAGCTGAACACCGGAGGGAACCCTCTTTAATGCCAGATGCTCCCTTCGTTGGAGCCATGCCCATTTACAGCAGGTGATGAGCAGACAACACAACTCATTAAACAACACGGGTTTCCAACATCTAGCTACAGGGAAAGGTGACTTTTTGCATCACCCCTGCCTGTAAGAGTAATCAATGCTTATGAATACTTAAAGGGAGGGTGTCAAGAGGATGGGGCCAGTCTTTTTTCAGTGGTGCCCAGGGACAGGACAAGAGGGAATGGGCACAAACTTGAATATAAGAAGTTTCACCTAAACAGGAAGAGGAACTTCTTTCCTGTGAGGGTGGCAGAGCCCTGGAAGAGGCTGCCCAGGGAGGTGGTGGAGTCTCCTTCTCTGGAGACATTCAAACCCCACCTGGACACATTCCTGTGGGACCTGCTCTGGCAGGGGGTTGGACTAGATGATCTCCAGAGGTCTCTTCCAACCCCATGGGATTCTGTGATTCTGTGATGGTTTGATGCACTCAGGTCTCACGACACAGCTATTAAATAAACGAGCGGTGAAGGCAGAAGAATAACAGGTCCTTTAGTTAGGGCAAAGCAGAGAAAAATAGGGATGAGTCAGAGGGCAAAAGTGCACAGCCTGCAGCTGGGAAATCACAGAACTTTGGTATTTTCAAGCTTTGCCCAATTTTGGCCACGGGCTGCCCAGGTACCTGACTCGAGAGCAGCACAACCGCAGGCACCAGGACCCAGCCCGGCCGAAGGGGCTGTGGGACAGGCAGCGGGAAACTCACACCCTCAAATTTAGCAAAAAAAAAAAAAAAACAAAACCAAAAAAACCCACGCTTTTGCAAACACGACCCTCTGAGCCAGTTTGGCAGAACCGAGGACGCAATGTCTGCACTCAGGTCCAACAAAAACCACTGTGTGTGCCGGTTCCCACAAACCAGTCCCTTCAGCCCTTTTGTCCCGGCTCGGGATAAACGGCTGCGCTCTCCCCAGCTCTGTGCCACTTCTGCATACCTGGGAAACGGCGTTCAGAGGGTGGGAGACAGCTTCCCTGGCTCCCATCCCCGCAAATAAACTATTCCCTTTCAGATACCGACAGACACACATTTAGAAAAACAGGAGAAAAATGCCTCAGGAATGGAGCAGGGTTAGTTTTCCCTGTGTTTCCAGCTGAAATAAATGTCCCTGCATCCCCCTCTGGATAAGCCATCCCAGGGTGACACTTTCTGCCACCCCGACACGTGACAGGAGCCCCCGACCACCTTCTCTGGGTACTTCTGGAGGACAGAAGAGATATTGGGGGGGATTAGGAGAAATACCTGCCTTTTGCCGCCCAGTTAAGGTACAAACTCACCCTGCAGAGGCTTGGGGGGTGTCCGGGGGGGGGGCTGCTATTCAGTGCTGTGCTGTCGGGGTGGGTGGCAGCACACCCAGACACTGCAGCATCCCCAGTGCCCACTGTGTCACAGCACCAGGGCAGCGTTGCCACGGGCACAGGGTACTCAGTAACCACCTTCTGTGCAGGCAACTCCCTGCAGCGGCCGTGGCAACCTGAGGCAGCCTTTGGGCAACCCAGTGCTCTCCATGGGCAACCTGCGGCCACCCCTGGGCAAGAAAATGCCCTCACATGGAACCTTAGATCCTGCCCTGGGCAACCTACTGCCCTTGATGGGCAAGTTTATGCAGCCCCTGGGCAACCTGGTGCAGCTGTTGGGCAACCGTTTTGCAGCTGGACATGGCTCTTAGTCCAATCTGGGTTTAGGAAGTCCTGCAAGGAGCAGGCTCTCTCTCAACTTGAGATACCCTGTGACCCTATGAACCCAGTGCCCTCAGTGGGCAACCCAGTGCCAGCCCTGGGCGACTCAGTGCAGACTCTGTGCAACCTAGTGCCTTTGCTGGGCAACTTGGTCCTATCCCTGGACAACCCCTAGTACCATCAATGTGCAGCCCAATGTAGCCCTTTGGCAACTTAGTGCTACTCCTGGGCTACCAAGAGCCACCAATGGGCAAAACAGTGCTCCTGATGGGCAAAACTGTGCCCTTACTGGGCAACGTGGTGCCAGCACTGGTGCTGCTGGGCCAGCCGGTGGCCAAGTTGGGGGCTCGCTGGGGCAGGCAGGCAGACCAGGGTGGGGGTGCTGGCACCCCAGGTGAGGAGATGCATGGTGTCCCCAGGAGCCCCACCACAGCACAGCCTCTCGCAGCACCAGGGCACTGTGCAGCAGTGACACTGGGAACGATTCCTGCGAGAGGGTCCTTCCCCAGTTGTTTCAGGTTTTAGCCTGAGAAAAGGCACCGGAACGTGAGGAGTCTGGTGGTGGGTAGCACAGCTGCTCCGGCTGACCCAAGGGAGGTTTCTCTACAACTTCTGAAAACACCCATCAGGTCTGCTGTGAGGACCTCCGTGTCCCACTTTATCCAGAGGAGACATTTCCATTTGCTTCACTTCACTGCTTCAGATCACCTGAGAGCTGTCCGGGTGGCTCAGCAAACGCTCAGGCTGATACATCTGACTTCTCACAGCCTTTTTCAGTCACCTCTCATTTTCCCAGTGATTGCAGCTGGGGACTGAGACTGTCCCAAAACGTTTTACAGCTTCTCATGCAGTGACACCCGGCCCCACCGCCCCTGCCTTCTGCACAAACACACGGAGCTGGGCTCCACGGGAGAGCTGTGCCTCTGCTGCCAAAGATCTGACATAACGGGTAACTCAGACTGTTTCATGTATACAAAGGTTAGCATGCTTTGATTTCACTCTAAACACACGTCTTGCTTTAGCTGGGTGAAGGATCAACTTAATCAAACTGAAATAAGAAGTTCAGAACATACAAGCTGCTTTTCCATAGCCAAACCAGAGAAAGTAATTTCAAAGAATCAAAGAATGATTTAGGTTGGAAGGGACCTTAAAGACCATCCATTCCCACCCCCTGCCCTGGGCAGGGACACCTCCCACCAGACCAGGTTGCTCCAAGCCCCCTCCAACCTGGCCTTGAACCCCTCCAGGGATGGGGCAGCCACAGCTTCTCGGGGCAACCTGGGCCAGGCTCTCACCACCCTCACACCAAAGAAGTTCTTCCCCACATCTCATCTCAATATCCCCTCTTCCAGTTTAAAACAGTTCTTCCTCATCCTATGTCTCCCCTCCCTGATCAAGAGTCCCTCCCCATCTCTCCTGTAGCCCCCTTCAGATCCGGAAGGGGCTCTGAGGTCTCCTCAGAGCCTTCTCTTCTCCAGGCTGAACCCCCCACAACTCTCTCAGTCTGTCCTCACAGCAGAGGGGCTCCAGCCCCCAGAGCATCTCCACGGCCCTGTTTCAATTCCCTGATCTCAATTAAAGCAAGCCAACCTCTGCCCCTTGGCAGGACGTGCACACACCTTCCGACCAGCCCCACTCTCTGGTCCTCACAACGCTCCCATCCTCCATCCATGCCCGCTCTCCCTCCCTGCCCGGAGCTGATTTTGCTCAGATGAATCACTGCACGATGAGGGGCACCACTAATTGTTGTAGACAACCACACCGTTTTTGAAGTATTTGCTAAATTAAGCAATAATAATTAGACAATACTGCAAAACACGCAGACCAGGACTTGGTCCTGGTGAGCCCCGCAAGGCAGAGGGACAGCAGGGGACATCAAAATGGATGAAGGTCTGGTCCCACCGTAGTGTCTGAAATGGCTTTTCAAGTGAAAGGCTCATGACCTACCTAAAAGCTACAAAGACGAGGGGAATTGGCACGGGTAAAACAGTCAAATCCACAAGTGACTCTCATGCAAGTTCTCAACCACACACAGTAAGTGGTCTCCAAATCCCTCATGCTCTGGGTACCATGTTGAATTAAGTAGACTATTCATATCGTCTCCATTTATTCAAGTAATTAAACTCAGTTCCTTAATTGTGACTCCTACAGCAGCAAATTCACTAAAATTACAAAAACAACCACTCCCGGTTCTGGTGGGGCACGTCCAGTTCTGATAGACCTGTGAGAACACAGCTTGTCCCGAAGTCTTGACCATTTTAGCTCAGAATAAAAAAAAACCCAAACAAAAAAAACCCAAACAGGGTGAAAAAAGAGGCCGAAGTCAAGCAGGGGTTGCAATTTTCAGCACGTCAGCCCAGGTTCTCCTAGTTGACTAAACTGGAATTTCAAGGGGTACATTTAGATACCTAAGTACAAAATCTGCTGCCAAAAGCTGTCAATCTTTCTGTCGCAGCTCTACATTCTCACTGTCTATTAATATAGCATTACCCTGGATCATAAGCTGCCCTTCTGAAAATACCCAGATCCAGATCTTTTATAGTATCCATCATGAGCCTCCATGTACCCATAACACTGCCCGGTCCCAGTTTTACGCAGTTATGACTATTCCTCTCTCTCCTGTAAACACTGTAAGGCATCAATTGTCCATTCAATAGCAGAATAATTTTCAAAAGTCACAGTAATTGATGGAGGATGAAAAAAAAATTAAACAGTGTGTGCTGTCATGCTGAAGAACAGGGATGCTCACAGGCAGAGCATGCTCCCATCCAGCCCAGGGCTATTTTAGGCATTCAAACAGGCTTCAAGATTTTATCTCCTAATGAAACCAAGGCTGGCTCTTAGGGATAAGCTGCACATGTACCTGCAGCTGTGGGCATGGTCCTGCAGCAGGATCTGTCTGGCCAGGGAACACAGGAAGTTTTCCAGGGTTTTACTGAGTTTTCCACATTCTGGTGAAAATTATGAGTGGACTATAAAACACAGATGCTCAAGGACACTCAAGGTGAGGCCTGGGCTGTTTTGATGTCTGCATGTGGCCAGTGGAAAAAGATGGTGATGGTCATGACTGAGCCCCTCGCCGCCACAGCAGAGGCTGGGACAGGCAGGAGGGTTGGGTGGTTGGACACCAAAAATGGAGGAGAGGAAGAGGAGGCCAAGCAGGTTGACAAGAGGAAAGCCCAGCTTTGGACATGGGCAGCCACTGGAGATCATCTGGGGCTTTCCCTTCATCTGCCAACAGCTCCCCAAACTGTCCTTTCCCCATGGTTGGAGAAGCCCAAGTGTTTGTGCCAGCTCCTCCACAACTCCATGCAGGACCTGGAAGTGTCACCGTCCTGCTGGTTGGACTTCTTAGAAAACCCAGCTCCCCACTCTGCTGGCAGACACCTCTCTGCACTCCGCAGGCAGACAGCAGAGCTCCAGCAGAGCAAATATCTACATATAAATAAGGGGCAAGGCCAAATTTAAATCTGTGGTTAATTCCAACATTTGAGTCACTTCCTTGGTATCCTTCAATGGCTACAGAAACGTAGTCCATCAGCAGACTGCCCCAGCAGGACCTGACTCTTCTGCCTTGCTCTGGTTTAAGGTGGGATGAGTTCTGTAATGTCCATGAGCCTGTTCTGCAGTAAATAGAGAATAAGGCAGGGAAGAACCAGCCCACAGTTGATGCTGCAGCGCAGCCGGGACCGTCTGCACGTGTTGGCCAAGGCTTGAGAAACCACTTTGCCTTGTCAGCACGTCAGGATGTGCAGTCCCATCCCACACCCAGTTCTGACACAGAGGCTATTCATAGGAAAACTGTTAAAAATGTGCGTTGTGAAACCTTTCCTTTCTCTGCGGTGGAAGCCTGGTGTGTGTATCCTAGTGCCCTGGAAAAGGCATGAGCAACAGCCCAAATATTTTGCACAAATCAGTGACAGTTCCCTAAAGTGAATCATTCCTTATCTATGTGTTTCACGTGCATTTTTTTTTTTTTTTTTAACATTCCTGAGGGGATTAGTGATTGTTTTCCCAGAACGTGCATTTTCTGCCGAAGTTCACATCTCCTTTTCCACCCTGGATTTTCTATCAATAAACTCAGGGGATACGTTTGACCCAACTGCAAGTGGACAAGGGCAGCGAGGGGAGGCAAACCCAAACCTCTGCCCTCTCCTGTCAACCACCCCCTTGTTGCCCCAGTGTTAAAGCAGGGGGGTATATTCCCATCCCTCCTCCTGATGAGGTGAGCACGTCCCACCCCCAGCCCTGCCTCAGAGGTGAGGACTCACCTCTTGTCTACAGGAAGAACATTTTGACAGATTTCTCCGTGGCACTGAGAAAAGGATGGAGTTAAACCAGTGAGACGTGCTGTGTGGAGACACAAATGCCATTTTACGCTGATAAACCTCACACAAAATTTCCCTGGAGCTCTGGATGCTCAGGAGCTTCATGTGAGATGTGACAGGAGCCCACTTGCCACAGCCTGGCCCATGGGGGACATGCTGAATGGGAGTCACCTCACCTAAGTTTATACATCCTAAATAGTTTTCTTTTACAGTCAGTAGGAAAAAATTGGCCTCTCCAGAGGCTGTTATCTGCACTGTCTTAGATGCTTTTTTTTCGGATTAAGCAAATGGTGCAAGGGAAGGTGCACTTCTCTTTTATCCCATAAGGGATGCACAGAGTGACACCTAGACATCTAACTGACCCAGGGCAGAGGAAGCTGGACTCTCTTGAAAACACCCTTAGTCC